CCACCCACCCTTTCTCCTTTTCGGTGATTGATTTTATTCGATCTGTATGAAATGAAAGATCTTGTAATGAACAGAACTAAAAATTAGTCGTTAGAATGAGAATGGAGGGGGGGAGGGATAGTAATTGCTAAGATAAGAGTGATTATGGCAAATGACATATATTCCAAGAATATAGTGGGTGGGTGGGCGGGGCTAGTACTTGTTCAGATAAGATTGATTTTGGTAGATGACATATCTTCTATAAAAAAAGGGTGGATGGGCGGGGCTAAAACTTGCTATCCTAGTACCGAACAATATTAAGAGTAGTCACTGGAACGAAGAAGGGGTGGGTGGGCGGGGCTACTGGTTGCTCATAAAACTGGAAGTAACCTAAATTTAGCCCCACCCACCTTATTTCTCCATTTCACTGACTTATTTTATTTAGTGTAAAAATGAAAATTGAAAAATAATTTTGATAAATCAAAAATTGAAAAATTGAACTACAAAACTGAAAATCGAAATATTGAGAAATCGAGAAGTGGATAAATTGAAACAATGGAATGTCGAGAAACCACGAAATGAAAAAATCGAAAAGTCGATGTTGAAAAATTGGGAAATAGCAAAATCAAAAAACCAAGAAATTGAAAAATCAAACATAGAAAAACTGAAAAATTAAAACATTGAGAAATCGAAAAATCGGAAAATTAAAAATGGAAAACCATCGAACATCGAAAAAATGAAAAATCGAAAAATCGGAAAATTTAGCAATCGCAAAATCGAAATAAAAATCGATTAATCGAAAAATTGAGAAATCGAAAATTCAGGAAGGCTCAAAATTGAAGAAATGACATCGAAAATTTGGGAAATCCAGTAGTCAACAATTTGAAAAATTGAGAAACTGAAAAATCGGAACATTGGAATCTAGAGAACTCATGAAATCGAAAAGTTGAAAAATGGCAAAATAAAAAATTTTAAAAATCGAAAAATTGAAAAATACTAAAACTGATAGTAAAATTGATATGTTGAAAAATTAAAAATTGGGAAATAGAAACATCAAAAGATCGTAAAACGAAATCGAAAAAACGAGAAATCGAAACATCTAGAATTGGAAAAATCGAAAATTGAGGGATTTAAAAACTGAAAAATCAAGAAATTGAAGAATCCCAAAACTGAAATGTTGAAAAATTGGAAAATAGAAAAATCAAAAAACCGAGAAAACGAAAAATCAAATATACAAAAACTGAAAAATTAAAACATTGAGAAATCGAAAAGTTGAGAAATTAGCCCAAAATCGAAAAATAGAAAAATTAAAAATTTAAAATAGAAAATGATTGAAAATCGAAAAATCGAAATAAAAATCGATTAATCGATAAATTGAGAAATCGAAAATTCAGGAAGGGCCAAAATTGAAAAAGTAAAAAATCGAAAAATTGAGAATCGAGTAGTCGAAAATTTGAAAAATAGAGAAACTGAAAAATCGAAAAATTGAAAAATCGAAACATTGGAATCTCGAGAAATCATCAAATCGAAAACTTGAAAAATAGCAAAATAAAAAATTTTAAAAATAGAAAAATTGAAAAACACTATGACATAAAAAAATTGATCAATCGAAAAATTGAATTAAAAAACTGAAAGATACCAAAATTGAGAAGTAGAGAAGTGGATGAATTTAAACATTAATCGAGAAATCAAGAAATGAAAAAAATCAAAATATCGAAAAGTCGAAAAACTAAAAAATACCAAAACTGACATAGCAAAATTGATATGTTGAAAAATTAAAAATTGGGAAGTAGGAACATCAAAAAATCGTAAAACGAAATCGAAAAAACTAGAAATCGAAACATCTAGAATTGGAAAAATCAAAAATTGAGGGATTGAAAAACTGAAATATCAAGAAATTGAAGAAGCCCAAAACTGAAATGTTGAAAAATTGGAAAATAGAAAAATCAAAAAACCGAGAAAACGAAAAATCAAACATACAAAAATTGAAAAATTAAAACATTGAGAAATCGAAATGTTGAGAAATTAGCCCAAAATCGAAAAATAGAAAAATTGAAAATTGAAAAATTTAAAACAGAAAATGATCGAAAATCGAAAAATCGGAAAATTTAGCAATCGAAAAATCGAAATAAAAATCGATTTTAATCGATAAATTGAGAAATCGAAAATTCAGGAAGGGCCAAAATTGAAAAAGTAAAAAATCGAAAAATTGAGAATCGAGTACTCGAAAATTTGAAAAATAGAGAAACTGAAAAATCGAAAAATTGAAAAATCGAAACATTGGAATCTGGAGAAATCATCAAATCGAAAAGTTGAAAAATGGCAAAATAAAAAATATTAAAAATAGAAAAATTGAAAAATATTATAATTGACATTAAAAAAAATGATTCATCGAAAAATTGAATTAAAAAACTGAAAGATACCAAAATTGAGAAGTAGAGAAGTGGATAAATTGAAACATTGAATATTGGAGAAATCAAGAAATGAAAAAAATCAAATATCGAAAAGTCGAAAATTTGAGAAATCGAAAAATTAAAAAATACCAAAACTGACATAGCAAAATTAATATGTTGAAAAATTAAAAATTTGGAAATAGGAACATCAAAAAATCGGAAAACGAAATCGAAAAAACTAGAAATCGAAACATCTAGAATTGGAAAAATCAAAAATTGAGGGATTGAAAAACTGAAAAATCAAGAAATTGAAGAATCCCAAAACTGAAATGTTGAAAAATTGGAAAATAGAAAAATCAAAAATCCGAGAAAACGAAAAATCAAACATACAAAAACTGAAAAATTAAAACATTGAGAATTCGAAAAGTTGAGAAATTAGCCCAAAATCGAAAAATAGAAAACTTGAAAAATTTAAAATAGAAAATGATCGAAAATCGAAAAATCGGAAAATTTAGCAATCGAAAAATCGAAATAAAAATCGATTAATCCATAAATTAAGAAATCGAAAACTCAGGAAGGGCCAAAATTGAAAAAGTAAAAATTCGAAAAATTGAGAATCGAATAGTCGAAAATTTGAAAAATAGAGAAACTGAAAAATCGAAAAATTGAAAAATCGAAACATTGTAATCTGGAAAAGTCATCAAATCGAAAAGTTGAAAAATGGCAAAATAAAAAATTTTAAAAATAAAAAAATTGAAAAATATAACTGACATTAAAAAAAATGATTCATCGAAAAATTGAATTAAAAAACTGAAAGATACTAAAATTGAGAAATAGAGAAGTGGATGAATTGAAACATTAATCGAGAAATCAAGAAATGAAAAAAATCAAAATATCGAAAAGTCGAAAATCTGAGATATCGAAAAATTAAAAAATACCAAAACTGACATAGTAAAATTGATATGTTGAAAAATTAAAAATTTGGAAATAGGAACATCAAAAAATCGTAAAACGAAATCGAAAAAACTAAATCGAAACATCTAGAATTGGAAAAATCAAAAATTGAGGGATTATTTGCCACGATAAGCCTGATTTTGCCAAATGACATACCCTCTAAGAAAATTAGGCGTAGAGGGTACGTCATTTGCCAAAATGAGTCTTATCTTAGCAAATACTAGCCCCGCTTGTTTTTCAATCAGTATTGTAAATTGATTTTCAAGTTCGAATTCCGATTTCAGAGTAAAAATTTTGATTTTTAGAGCTCAAATTTCCGAAATGTTCAAAATTTTGTAATATTAGATGCAAATTTCGTATTGGAACTTCTATCCCAGGAGTTACAATTCTGGAATATCTAAATTTATAACTTCAAATTTTGAAATCGTAAAAAGTCATCCGAGTTTTAATTATTTTTGAATAATTTAAATACATTTTAAAAATAACTTTATTGCCTTCAAAAGATACGTTAATTAAAATATTTGATACAATAAATGTAGAACGGGAGCCATTTTCAAGAAGTGTATAATGTGTTGCATACCTTATTTGACTTCTACAGTTTAATCGGAATGAAATTATGTATAATCAATATGGGACAAGTGTTCATCAAACTTATCTAACTGAAATTCTTACCGAATTTCAAAACCAGCAAATTCATTTCTCTCAAAAAATATATTATTCTGAAATAAATGTAACAAATAATCGATTTGCTGTTCTCTTGGAACTCCACAGCATCTAAAGGAAAGACGATCATACAGCCAGATTTTACAAGAAAAGATGGATAGCCTACAAGAAATTTTTTTATCGAGAGGGTAGGACCTTGAAGTTTCCATCAGTCAAATTAATATTCGAAAAACGAGAGGGCTTTAATATTTCATTACAGATTTAATAGTTTGTTTCAGGTCTAATTGTTTTCTTAGAGGTTCAATAATTTTTTGCGGCTTGAATTTGAACATTTATTCTCGATGGAGACCAGCTTATCCTGATTTTGATCGTCTTGAATATGAGTTTTGTCGGTTCACGAGGAAATCTGTGATCACATTTGCATTTCATACACAGAATCATTCATAAATTTCAGTTTTGTATAATAAATCCTATAATCAATTACATAATTTTCTTTTAATATAAATTATCTGACGAACAATTTTACAGCTCAGACTTGTCTCTATACATTTAAGATTTCATACAATCCAACTTTCAATTTGCTCGGAGAACGTCAACCAAAAAGTTAAGTTAAAATTGGTACAAGTATTTAAAACTTGAATATTCTCTGTTTGAAATTCATTTCGATCTCCAGTTCAAGAATTGAGTTTAGACATTTAATTTTGGAATTAAGATTTGTTTCTGTTTTTTAGAATTGGAATCCCGACTTTACAAATGAAAATTTCGATTTTCCAGATCAAAGTTTTGGTGTCAAAATGTACACAATGATGGTCATAATTTTCATAATGGAAAAAATGGAAAACTGAGGCAAACAATCACTAGTTTGAACCGATATTTAAAAACCGAAAAGTTGCGGTCTGCCTCGAGACCCCCACAGTTATCGGCAACGTAGGATTCTGCGCTGTCAGCGTGACAAGAGTGGGGAAAGCGCAATGTTTTCAAAACATTTTTCTTCAGTCTGCTTCCAGCGAAGTTACTGTGTACTTCGCTCCGCGGAAATTGCGCAAAATTGTCAAAATTGTGTGCTTTTCGGTGGTGACAGTGCCCGTAAATTAGTATTCCGTTTGAGTTTTCCCTCGCCGCCCTTTTACCATTGATGTCGGACTAGTCGCGCCTGTTTTTCTTGGGATTACGCTACCATATGAGGACCATGCTGGGTGTCTTACGTTGTAAGTGTTTGTTTACTCGTTCCCACATGTACCTATTTTCTATTGTGATTAATCCAAACCGGATTTGGTCGCATGAATTCCAAGCAGAAAAAACGCGTCATGCGTCTTCACGTAACTCTTATCCAACAAAAAAGTAAAAGTTATTAAGCAAAATTAAACACCAGATCTGTATTTCTAATTAGCGAATGAAAGTGATTTTCAATGTTTCGCTCTTTCCGAAGAAAACGAGGCCAATAACCCCATATTGCTCCCGTACAGAAGTTATATTATTTCGGTGTTATGAAATGTAGGCCAGCCGGAAATAAAAATCTCATTTTTCATCGGATCCTCAAATATTTGCACGTCTTGAATTCAGACGGATGCTGATTAAAATCAGCCGATTTGCATATACAGAGTGGTGCGATGAATTACGATTCGGGGAGGGTTTTCGATTCGGCTGTGTTTACCTACTGGTTATTGGAGACACAAATGTCATTTAGGGTCAATGGTGCGTGAAAATCAGAGAGCCGCCCCGGGATTAGGGACACCTTTGAAGTGATGCAATTGTGACCGTGTAATCGATTCTGTCAGCTACAGGGTGATTTTGGAAAATTGATACTGAAGTATGCAAAGTCGAGCGAGCTTAACTAGCTTCCGACTGGTTCTGAAAGTGTTCATAAATAATTATGGTTTCATCAAAGTTGACTTTGAGTTTGCCGCCTTGTTGAAACTAGGGATTCGCAATAATCGAGACTAATCTCGTTCTCGTCTCGGAATCGCTTAAAATTCGGGACGATACCCGAGACCGATACCAGAAAATAAGCGAGACTCACTTTCGAGACCTTTTGCCGAAACTCTCGGCGAGATCGAGACCAAATGCCGAGACTCTCGAGTATCGGTTTTATAAAATTATATGTAAATAATTTGAAAAAAACATTTATTTAGTTCTATTCTAATAAAATATAAAACAGAGAAAGATAATTAAAAACGAGTATGTTACGAGTATATAAAAAAATCAAAGCATAATTTTATTTGCATGAGGGCAATGAGCCCAGGAACCAATACACAATTGACTTCGTGCAGTTTCGGCTGTGAGCCGATTTCTTTCTTTCCGCATAATTTGTCCTGCCCTTGAAAATACTCTTTCCACAGGTACGGATGTAGCAGGTATGGCTAGAATATCTTTGGCCATTTTTGCTAAATTAGGGTAAATACTTCTATGAATGTTCCACCATTCTAAAATGTTTATGGTAGGTGCTGGGGCTGGTTCTGTATAATAACGGTTAAGCTCAGTTCTCCAACATTCTGCTGGAGACAAATTAGCAGTGGTGTCGTCAAAAAATGCCAATATACTGCTTAGGGGATTGTTGTCTGTTGATGCCGTTGATTTTGTAGGTTGATGCTTTGGGTAGTCACTGTCCTCATAATAGGGGTGGTATTCCTGCTGAAAAACTTTTTCAAAAAATACCACTGAATAATGTTTCAACTCTTTTCCCCATGCAGTTTGATCGAATTTCCGTAGGTTATGACGCGGATCTAATAATAGAGCGGCACAATAAATCCAGTTAATTTTTTGATAGTGTTTCAGGATTTTTCTTTTTCCATTTTCACATGCATTATAAAAGCATATGCCGGTTTCGTCAGCAATATTCAATGAATTCATGAATGACTCCAGTCTATCAAGTAGTAAATTAAAGGCTATAACGGTTAGTGATAAGGTAGGATATTGTTCTCCTTCCAAAACCACTGAAAAATTTTTAAAATATTTTAAAACTTCTTTCAATTTGTTCACCCAAATCCATTCATAGGCAGTTAGAGAATAGCGCTTTAAAACGGCATTATTTTCAGAGAGCAGTTGTAAAGCTTCTTTCATACTGTAAGCAACTTCCAGCATTGCCTGCGTACTGTTCCATCTAGTTGATACATCTAAAGGAGGATCCTTGTAGGTTATTCTTTTTACTTCACAACAACTTCTAAACTTATTGCATAGTTGTTCTGATTTACGTATTTTTTTAAATATTCCACGAATTTTTTCAACAAATGATATTCTATCAGCATCGTTTTCCTCCTCAGAATCTTCTTCATTGTTCTCATCAGCACTATAATCATCTTCATGATCCTCTGTTCGTACCTCTTCTATTTTTAGAGTGTTTAAAATATCTTTCACGCCTAAGTTGCAAATGTGTGCATACATCGGAAGTGGCTATTTTTTTCGTCAAATCTAATGCTTTCTTGATTCAGAAGTTTTTTCAATTCTGCTATAAACATGTCGTTGGCAGAAGCATTGTCCATGGTGATGCCTTGAATTTTTTCTTTAAGACCGAAAAATTCTATAGATGAGTGAAAGAGTTTTGCAATGTCTAAACCTGTATGTTTTCCATCAGATGGTAAAAAATCTAAAGTTAGAGAACATAATTTCCAGTTGTCATCTATGTAATGTGCTGTTATTCCATAATAAGATTTTCTGTTAACAGACGTCCAACCGTCTACAGTAAAAGAAATTTTACTGCTAGTGTCAAGTAAAAGTTGTTTTACATTTTCACGCATTTGTTCGAAATATTTGAGAGTTTTACAACGTAGTTTGTCTTTTTTTGGCATTGATAGATTTGGAGAAATTAATTTGAAATAATTCTGTGTAGCTTCGTCATCAAAAAAGTTATACGGCAAACTTTTTCTTGATGTCCATATAACTGTTTCTTTAACAAAAATGTCTGTTGCATCGGCTGTTTTCACCAGATGCTGAAAAGCAAAAAAATCGTAGTTGTATTTATATAGGTTAGTAATCAGAACTTATTACTTAAAAACATGTGATTACGTTATTACGAGTATTATTATATGAAATATGTAAAATCTTTTTTTTTATTTAAGATTTTGAGAGATTTTCAGAGCACGGAGCTTTGAAGCAACCAATGCAGTTAGTTCTGATTTTTTGTTTTACAGTCACATTTTGTGACAATGAAAGACTATTGTTTTACACAACTTCTAAAAAAATTTAATTGTCGTCAGAGGCAGAGGCATTAAGTTTTGCTAAAAAAATCATAAAACAACCCAAAATTGGGTTTTAATATCCAATTATAGTTCCACAGTAGGACCTTTTTTTAAAAAGAGTCGAGCCCCCAAAGAGTAGCTAATAATTTTATAATTTGTTTTTTAAATTGGAACTAATGATTTTTTCGCAAAAATTCAGCTTTAATTATCACAAAACTTGACTGAAAAAGGATAAATTCGAACTCACTGCGTCGGCACCGGCCGTTTCAAACTTTGGTAAATCCCCCTGTTAATTATATATTCGAGAAGTGAGAAAAAAATAACATTCACATTCACACAAAAACCTATATTGTACCTGTATTTACCTTTGAAGTAGACTTAAATGCATCCTCCAATTTCAGTTGCCCCTTCTCTGCGACATTAACATTAACCCCAAATATTTCTTCATATGAGTTTCGATGTATTGACTTTAAATGTTTTTTTAATCCACTTGTGTTGGAATCCTTCATTTTTATACATTTTCTTGTCGAACACAATTTACAAACACCTATTTTAAAATTATTTTCCATTTCAAAATGAAAAAAATCTTTGACAGTTCGTTTTTTTTCTGTGCTTGCAGTCGAAGGTTCACTGTCACTATCAATCGCGTTATTAAGATGTACAGATTCATTATAATTTGTTTTCTTTGACTGCATCTTAAAGATCCTTGTTCAAGGTAAAGCCTACTAAATTTTTTTCAATTCTTTCTCAATAATATCTCAGTCTGGCACGTCAGCGTACTTACACTCGAATGCGAATAATATTACAATGCTCGACAAATCATTAGAAATTGAACTGGTTTTCTTAATTCTCAGAAAGTTCTTGACCCCAGTGGATGTAGGAAAACAATTCTAGGAAATAAAGACTGTAGCGAGACTTTCGAGACTTTCGAGACTCTCGCGAGACGATACCGAGACTATAATAATCGAGACTCTCGAAAATCGAGACCGATATCTACGTTTCGAGATTTGACGAGCCCGATATCGAGACCCATTAAATCTCGACGAGACGAGACGAGACCGAATCCCTAGTTGAAACAGGAGATCAATTAAATTGTCAACAATGACGAGTTGACGTTTGCTGAACTTTTACCTATTGTACATACTCGTTAAAAAATTTAGTTAATTTTAATGTTTGTCACATTGTACATTGTAAGTACAGTCTCGTATAACATAATTTGTAACAAATGGTAACATTAAAAAGGTTCACATTCAGAATACAACGGACACTTTGAATTTTGGTTTCATGATTAACGAAAACTGTGACCGGTAGTTTTTTTTATACATTTTGTTGTTGTGTAAAGTAAAAGAAGGCATATACTTGGTCATAAAAGTCTGCCTTTCCTCAAAAGAATGCACTCTCGGACTCGCTCAGGGCGAATTTCGCTATAAATTGATATAATAATTCATTAATATTATATCATGAAATTTTTATGGTATATAGTGTGATAACCATAATACCTTAGCCGCAATTTAACTTTTTTTTTAATCGATTTGGTCTTGTAGAAGTGTTAACAAACTAATCGTCACTAACTGTTTAGAATTTATTGTCATAATAAATCAATTTTCCAACTTTTGATTTTTTCAATTTTTATATTTGGCAATTTCTCGTTTCTTCAATTTTTCGATTTGCAATTTTTTATTTTTTTTGTTTTTTTATTTTTAAATTTTTCGGTTTTTCGATTTTCCAATTTTTGGATGTTTCAGTTTTCAGATTTTGCAATTTTTCTATTTGCAATTTCTTGAGTTTTCAATTTTTAATTTCTCACTTTTTGGATTTTCGATATTTCGATTTGGAATTTTTCAATTTTTATTTTTTTGTTTGTTAGTCCTTGCTAAGATAAGACTGATTTTAGCAAATCATATACCCTCTAAGAAGAGAGAGGGCGGGTGGGCGGGCCTAGTACATGCTAAGATAAAACTAATTTTGGCAAATCACATACCTTCCAAGAAAACAGAGGGTGGGTGGGCGGGGCTAGTACTTGCCAAGATAAG